CCGACTTCTGCCTCTGTCCCCACCCCACACAGCTCAGCCAACAAGTGCCTGCTGAAGGTGGCTGGTTATGCGGCTCAGCTGGAGCAGTATCAGAAGGCCATTGACATCTATGAGCAGGTGGGGACAGGTGTGGCCCGTCGTCCCTGCATGGTGCTCCCTTTGTTACCTCCCCGGCGCTCATCCTGTCCTCCCTGGCAAAACCTCTCCACCCACCACTCCCCATGGTGTCGCCGCCCTCTCCTCTGTGCCCTCTCCCCTGTGCGCGTCTCACGGAGAGCTTCCTGGGAGGCCCAGGGAACGGGAAGAATCGCGGAGGCCTGGGGTGGCCGGAGGTGGCCGAGCAGCCCCCAGGAGGCATGGTTGGGGGGACGGGAAGGGAGCGACCCACGGGTGTGCAGCCTCCCCTGGGCTGGGCGGGGCAGGCGGGGCAGGCGACGCTGTCCCGGTAGGTTCAGCGCGGCCAAGAGAAAGGCAGGCAGCTGGCCTTGGAGGAGAGGGGGGCGGGCGCCGGCTCTCAAGTTCCCGCCTCCTGCCGCCCTCTGCCCACCAGTGTGTCTGCCTCCCTCGGGCCTGACAGTGGGGCCGCCGCCTCCCTGCCATCTCGGCTGCCTTGGCGGGGCGGGGCACAGACACCTGGCTTCAGCCCTGTGGCAGCCCACCCCCCTGTCACACACTGCTCTGTGGCCGCCCGCACACCGTTGGCCGACTTCTCTGGGCTGGTCCTCGGCCTCCCTGCCCTCGGTGTCTCAGGTTAACCGGGCTTCAGCCTGGACACAGACGCACTGACCCCGGTACCCGCCCCCGGCTGCCAGCCCCGAGCTTATGGTGCCACCTGCACATGCGCACAGGTGGGAACCAATGCCATGGACAGCCCCCTCCTCAAGTACAGCGCCAAGGACTACTTCTTCAAGGCGGCCCTCTGTCACTTCTGCATCGACATGCTCAATGCCAAGGTGAGCGCGGCCCCGTGGGCCCACCCAGGGCCTCCCCCTCCTCCCAGTGGCCACCCTGGAGCCCTGGGTCTGTCATTAGGCCAAGGCCCCTCTTGGCAAGGGGTGAGCCCCTCCCTCACGTCTGGTGCCTGCAGTCAGCTGTGGGCAGGACACACTCGTTCTCACTGGCGTGTTTCTGTTCCTGTTGTCACGCGCCCGGTCTCCGTAGCTTTTGCGTTTGCCCGGCTCCTGGCTCACTTGGTGCCAGGCTTTTTCTTCCGTGAGAGCATGTTTTGGGTCCTTACCGCGTCCCTTGAGGTCGGCACCACTGTTACCCCGTTCTGCAGCTGAGGATGCTGAGGCCGGAGCCCCTTATTCAAGGCCACAGGGCTGGATTCCAGATCTTTGACTCCCAGAGTCGTGATTTATACTGTAGCACGTGTGCCCACATCACCCATTTTCAGGGCTTCTCGGCAAGAGCGGAGCCAGTGCTGCCTGAGGGGGCAGGGAATGGCCTAGCCGGAGGAGGAGCTGGAGTCCTCGGGGTCCGGGTTCGGCATTTCCCGGGGTCTCTGGCCACCCCGCCCTCAGCCTCGGGGTGTGTCTGAGCACGGCCGCCAGCCCCCGCTCCCGCTGTGGGCGAGAGCTCAGGCTTTGCTGTCGGGCCGGTCCACGTTCCCGCCCCCACGTCCCCTGTGCCCCAAGCAGGTCATTGCGTTTCCCCGCTTTCAAAACGGGGGTCCCCATCACGTGGCCCTCCCCGGGGCCTCATGGTGGTTAACTGAGAAGTGCCCAGCACCAGCCCTGGCACGTAGGAGGTACTCCTGCGAGGCAGTTGGTGTTTGCCCCCTGCCCTGGGCACCGGCCTGGGAAACCCTTCCCGCTTCCTCCCCACAAGCTGTCACTGCAGCCACGCTTGGCCCGGCACAGCCCCGCGGAGGTGCCACCAGGCACAGAGCCAGGTGACGCTGGGGGAGGGGCACAGAGAAGGACTCAGGGGCCAGGTGTCTCCAGGTCCCCTTGGCTGCCAGGCCGGTGGCTCCGATGGCCCCTCTTCATGAGCTTGTCCCCTTTCCACCCTTGTGACGTTTAGCTCGCCGTCCAGAAGTATGAGGAGCTGTTCCCTGCGTTCTCTGGCTCCCGGGAGTGCACGCTAATGAAAGTGAGTGCTGGGTGGGCTGGGGGCAGCAGGGGAGGGCAGCCGCGGGCTCCAGTCACCGTAACTGCCGAGATCTGTGCGGTGGTTCTTTTTT